TGAATGAGGACTTGTTTAATCAGCATATTTTTGTTCATCATCGCGGATTAACAGCACGATTATTTATTTACCTTTTCTTTGTTAACTAATCTTCGTCCCGTCTCTAAATAGAACATTATTTAAATAAACTCATACTCAGTGTTGTTTTTGTTTCTTAATTAGTTTAATTAAGTTGAATTTCTGTTTTATTCCACGATAATCAATTTTATTTTTGGCGAATTATAAAATATACATTTTGTAGGGTAGGGAAAGCTTTGTACTATTCATTGACGTTTAATTTTTTTTTTGTTTTGACTAAGGCCTACCCAGTGACGCATGAAAGGTACGAGTAGGGCGAGTACATCTATAGCAAGTAGGAGTATACGTTTATGCACGAAACATGTTCCAACATTAATTATAATCAAATAATGGATAATTGGAGGCTCTCTATATTATTAATTTTAAGTATAATTTGTTAAGGGGTGGCTGAAAAACAGCGTTGGTTCAGGAGCCCTACTCTCTTTCCCCGAAACGAAATTTCGGTAACGAACGAATTTTGAACGAAATTTCGCCAATGACTCTACTCTGTTTCATCTTCGAACACGCACATAAAGTTCGGAATCACAGACAATTATCGTGAACGAATGGAATGAGTTATGTTTGTGAGTTCTTTTCGTCTACACTTTTTATATAATGTTTTTTACTTCAAAACAATATTACTTTATGACAACATTTTTGATTACATTAAAACAACCTCTTTTGACAGTGTTAGCCGACTAATTTGTAGAGTTGATGCAATCGAATTTATGTTAACCTAAATTTGTCGTGTAATACTTTGAAGTATTGGCAATACAATAATAAACAAAAAATATATTTATTTGTAATATTTCTTACTAAAAAATGTTCCTCACGCTAAGCAGCCTTAATTAAAAATACTCTAGTAATAATTTTAGGTTTAATTTAAACAAATATCCCAAAACGAAATTGAAAAGTTAACACTTTTCATTTCGAAACGAAAGGTTAAAATTTCGAACAATTATCTGTCAAATTCAACTTTTAGTTCAAAAGTTTTGTGAATTAGAGTAGGCTTAGAGAATTTAAATGTCAAACTATTTTCGGACGAACGAATTTTCGAAATGAAATAGAAACAGAGTAAGGAACGTGCGAAATTTCGATGGAAATTTCGTTTTTCGTTGAAATAGAGTAGGCCTCCAGGTCTAGGCTTGACCAACATTGGCTGAGACATTCCCTATTGTCTTATTTTTAATGAAATTTTATTTAAATATCTGTTGACATGTAAAAAAAACACAATAAATTATTATTATTATTTAGTTTCAATACTTGAGTAAAGTTTTGACTTTGTGTTCTGATTTTTACCACCACTTAACATCAGGTGGGGTATATATATAGAGTCATTTGGCTACTTTAAAATAAAAAAAACGTATCAAAGCTAAGTCCAATTTGGCAAATTTGCTTAATCTCACTTAACTAAAACTTTTACTAGGTGTAGTCCATACAAAAATGACAAAATATCTCTATTAACTTGTATGGGATGAATCGTTTTAGTTAAATTAAGATTTAGTAAAATTCCCGCAAGTGGGCCTAAATCTTTATTTTTACATTCTTGTATGGGCTAAATCTAGTTTTAGTTAAATCGAGATTTAGCGAATCCGCTTCGAGTGGGCTAACAATAAAAGACTGCCCGTAAACGCTAGTGTTCAACTCACCCAATGGTCAGACGTCCGTTTCGTATGTTAACTTGTATGGGATGTATCGTTTTAGTTAAATTCAGATTTAGTATAATTCCCGCAAGTGGGCCTAAATCTTTATTTTTACATTCTTGTATGGGCTAAATCTAGTTTTAGTTAAATCGAGATTTAGCGAATTCGCTTCGAGTGGGCCTACAATAAAGCACAGCCCGTAAACACCAGTGTTCAACTCACCCAAGGCTAAATCTAGTTTTAGTTAAATCGAGATTCAACGAATTTGCTACGACTGGGCCTACAATGAAAGACTGCCCGTAAACGCTAGTGATCAACTCACCCAATGGTCAGACGTCCGTTTCTATGGCCTCCGCGCTGTGCATGTTGTTGACGCGCACAGTGCACGCGGCGCGCCGGCGCGGCATCTGGTCGCGCGGTATCTGCTCGCGCCGCTGCAGAGCCGCGTGCTCATTGGCTAGCATCTGCTGGTAGCGGGCCATCCGCGCCGCCTGCTGCACCTGCTGCCGCTGCAACTCCTGCTGCTGCAGCTACGCGAGCGGAGACAAACACGCTTTATTATTATACATCATATATACAAAGTCTCGTGAAGATTACATCGTCCAAGTCAAAATGTAATGAAATTAAAGCTACTAGGCCCAACTGAATACGTTTTTGAAGTTATACTTCTTTAGGCGCGTTATGAAAAAATGATGAGAGTAAAATTTTAAGATGCGCGCGCACCACTGTAACACAAAAGTAACACATGAAGTTGGCCGCGGGCGCGTTATGAATGTTAGTGTCTAATAATGGTGGATTATTAACCACTTAGTGGTTAATAATCCACCATTATTAGAACGAACTCGCACCCTTCGCAATCCGGGCGAATGCAGTGACCATGGCCGTCAGGGCCGCGGTAGCATAATTGGTCAGTGCATTCGCCCGGATTGCGAAGGTTGCGGGTTCGAGTCCCGTATGCTGTCAGGTCCGCGTGGATTTTTTTCTATTAAAACTTTTCTTTAGATTTAAACCCTTAAATTGTTGAAATCCGTTCAATAATCTCGGAATAATCGGTGTCCGGTGTCGGTGAATACGAAGGACTACTGATTTCATCCATCTTTTCCTTATTTTTTTAAAGTTACGTAGAACTAAAGGTACACAACGAGGATGAAGTCCCAATTCTGCGTCGACATTTGTTCAAAAGTAAGCCGTACAAATTTCTTTATATCAATAATAAATGAAATATTATTTATGATCTATGCTAAAAACAATGACGCATATAATATTCATATTCAGGTGTATACACTGGCTGCCATTTCTATGTGCTTTTAACTACGGGCCTGCAGAATTTAACTACGGGCCTGCAGAAATAAATTTCAGCTTGAAATAAGCTGTGCCCTTTTTCTAGTATCTTATTTTGTAATCACTCTTTTGTATTCATATTTGTGTGCACAAAATGTATAAATAATAAAAAAAACAAGACTGATGAAATCAGAACTAAAGTATGTAGGTTGCACTTATTTGCCATTAAAACATTTGTGTAGCAAATTTAATCTGAACAATAGATTCTTATTCCAAAGTCGACTTAAAAGGCTTTTTTGTGAAACATTGTCACAGTAAATTTTGATAAGCACCTACAGGTTTAGTTAGAAATTGGTCTAAATACTGCAGCATCACTTGGCATACCGCCAGCACGTGTATACTTGCAACCCTCCTATAGATATTATCTTGAAATTATTAAAACATTCTTTATTTCTCTTCAAAATGTTCTAGTTTCTGCCTTTGCAGTAGATAAAAGAGTAGAAGTAATAAAAGGTAAATTCGAATAAGTCGTACCAATTTTCATACTCTAGCTGCAATCGGGAAATTCCATTAACCTATCCGTAAACTAAGTGTTTTGTTTACGGATAGGTTAATGGAATCAGTCGTGGGTTATTCCTCGCGTCTTCGCGCCATAACGCACGAACCGCGAACCGAGGCTGATGGCGGTTGCGCGTATGTTAATTCCGCAGTTACGCTGAACGCCTGACGCCTATACAAATTAATAGGGGAGGTGCATAGTGTTTTTTCCATACAAACGTTCTTGACTTATACCTCCTTGATTTTTATCACTAAAGAATTGTTTTTCATACATTAAATATAATTTTTCCCCTCCTATGCTCCTATGTTTTTCTTTTTTCGATAACTTGTGTTTCAAAGAAACTAGAAGCCCTCGAAAAAAGCCAAAATTTAACAAACTTTTATATACCACTAAAGACGTCTAGTAAGCATTTACAAAAAAATCAAAACATAGAGGCATAGTATAACTACTTATTATTCTTTGTGTAAAATTTCTTTTATACACGAGTATATCTAATTGTGCAAGGAGAAAATCGTCGAGAGCCAAACCTCGAGTTTCGCATTTATTGTAAGCAATTTTCAGCGTTAACAACTGCTGTCCCTATCCCACGGCATTTGCAAACGCGTGACAAATAGTTTTTTAAAATACCTATTTCTTAAATGTCTCTCAGCTCGAGTTCGCTCTTAACATCGACCGCCATCCGCCGCGGCTTGTGCGTTGTTCACCTTAGTTTTACAGAACAAATAAATATAAAGCCTTACTTAGCTGAGCCGCAGTGCGTCCTGGTGTTCCAGTGCCGCTATATCGTCGACGTTGCCCGCCTCCATGGTGGCCTGCTGCTCCAGCAGCAGGAGTTCCTCCTGCAGCCGACGCAGGTTGGACTCCATCACAGCTTATGAAGAGTGGTCGCTCTTAAAGGCTTACTTGGTTAAACCGGAGCGCGTCCTGGTGTTACAGTGCCGCTGTATCGTCGACGTTGCCCGCTTCGATGGTGGCCTGCTGCTCCAGCAGCAGGAGCTCCTCCTCCTGCAGCCGGCGTAGGTTGGATTCCATCACCTCTTTTGAAGAGTGGTCGCTCTTAAAGGCTTACTTGGTTAAGCCGGAGCGCGTCCTGGTGTTCCAGTGCCGCTATATCGTCGACGTTGCCCGCCTCCATGGTGGCCTGCTGCTCCAGCAACAGGAGTTCCTCCTCCTGCAGCCGGTGCAGGTGGACTCCATCACCTCTTATGAAGAGTGGTCGCTCTTAAAGGCTTACTTGGTTGAGCCGGAGCGCGTCCTGGTGTTCCAGTGCCGCTATATCGTCGACGTTGCCCGCCTCCATGGTGACCTGCTGCTCCAGCAGCAGGAGTTCCTCCTGCAGCCAACGCAGGTTGGACTCCATCACCTCTTATGAAGAGTGGTCACTCTTAAAGGCTTACTTGGTTAAGCCGGAGCGCGTCCTGGTGTTCCAGTGCCGCTATATCGTCGACATTGCCCGCCTCCATGGTGGCCTGCTGCTCCAGCAGCAGGAGTTCCTCCTCCTGCAGCCGACGCAGGTTGGACTCTAGATGCGGGTCCGTCACCAGCGCGCTCTCGTCCAGCTCCATCATCTCTGATGAAGAGTCGTCGCTCATCGAAGACTTCTTGTGAATTGGCCCTGAAACTGATTACGGCGTATTGAATTCTGCTGCGTGCAATAAAGTTTGAAGCGCGGGCCACGTACGGAGCGAAACGATGTGAACGTTGGGCCTTTACACACGTCACCAGGGGTTGGCGGCACCTCTTTTTCGAGTACAATTCAAACCCCGTCGCCTTGTGTATAGACAGTTACAGATCAAGTTACAAGAAACTGACTTATTTTCTTGATAGTTAATTATATATAGAGTAATATAAAGCTCAAGGTCCGTTAGAGAAATTTTTACAGTTAAGGGTTGGTTTAAGGGTTTCCTGTCACTGTCTAGACTTTGTGACAATTCGTCAGTGCTGGTGTTGAATCACAAGTATCGTAGGTCCAATATGTAAAGGCGTTCTGTTCCGTTCATAGCGCAACTAGAATTTATTCATTGAGTTTACGCTAAAAAAGATCGCTTCGCTCAGCTTTTTTATACTTATAACATTATATGAGCGAAGCAATTTTCGTTTCGCCCTCGATGTAGCCCACGCTTGACAATTCCGGAAATGTTACTTTATTATTGTTATGTAGCAGATATGTATTAATAGAAAATTGTGTTGAATAAAATATAATTTCAAATACGTTATACTATCGAATTTGGTTAAATAAACTATTCTTGCAATGTTAAACATCTTTTGTGTGTAGTTACAGTGGTTAGCGATATAAATAAGGTTTAGTAAATGCTACATGCATGACAGGTTAAGATCATAATTAATAAGTACAAATAATAATAAATTAATGAAAATCTACTCAACAGGGATAAAATAAATGAAGGATTCAAATAAGTCGAAGTAATTCGTAATTTTCCCCACAAGCTTTTGAATTTATGAATCTACATAGTATGACTTTTCAGTACCAAGGCTACTACGTATGACATTTGACACTCGCAAACTATTCGAATTCGATATTGGTTCGTGCTAATGGTACAATTAGTATTTTTTACTTTCTAGTTTTTTTAAGCAGTAGTTTAGATACCCACTGCTTTAAAACTCAGTTCAGAGCTTGAAACTGGTTTCGAAAATACCGGTAAATAATGGTTAATACCGGTATTTAGTAAAGTTTTCGTTCGGAGCGCGTCCGAAATGAAAGTGGTACCTAAACCTTAATAAACCGGTTTAATCCAGAGCGACACGTGCTCGCGTCGGCATCGCTTAGTTTGTTTTGTTTGAACTACCTTCGAAAGACTTTTATTGAGCGTTTGGTTATTTCATTGTTCGATTTTTAAGTTTTATTGTCTATGTATGAATTTATTATTTAATTTACTTAAAAAAGTATTTTATTTAAAATTCTTTTTTGTAATTTTGAGTTTATTTATTTGACCCTAACCTACCGTAAACTACCACCGGTTTCAAAATTGGGAGACCTTTCTGAGAAGAACCGGCGAAACAAACTCAAGAGAGGCTTTCTATCTCCTTCTTATGTTATTCCTCTCTTGAGTTTGTGAAATGATTTTAATTTTATTTATTTTTTAAACAATTTATGTTGTAGTTAACTGAAAAGTACTTATTTAGCGAGCTCTCATCGCATTCCCACTCGTTTCGAAATCTCACGAAGTCCCAAACAGCTAGGCTTGTTGAAAACATATCGATGTATCGATATATCGATATTTTTTGTTCGATATATCGATATTTTTTGCCGATATATTTTAATTCGATATATCGATACAAAATAACCAATATCGAAATTCGTATCAAAAACGATATTTTTTTTAATTATTAGCGGCATATCACGATCTAACTAAATTCGTATCTGGAAAAATCGTAACTGGATCTCAGATTAATGATATTCAATATATCTATGATCTGTGCTGTATTTAGTATTGTCTATGTCATCATTGGAAAATAGGGTCTATTTTTAGGGAGAAAATTTTCGTTCCATTATTATTCCGCGTGTCATATTTCGTGAGCTCGTACGTTCGTGTACGATATTTTTGGGAAAATTGGTCCGATATATCGATATATCGATGTTTTTTTCGCGATATATCGAAGCCGATATTGATATTTTTTAAAATATCGATATATCGATGTTTTTTTCAACTTTCGACATCCCTACAAACAGCAGGCCTGGCGTCTTGCCATTCCCGCACCGTGTGATTGCTAAAGTAGTTGTGTTGATTTATAACTTAATTGTAACGTAAGAATTAGGGCCAATTTATTTGGTAAGTGTTCGCATTTAATGCTCTCATCGCCGCGTATAAAGCAATAATAGCAGCGAAGATGGTTTAACTATTTTATAAATTGTAAAATGCGACGGAGTTATCGCGTAGTTGTAACAGAATGAGGGCTACCGTTTTCTGCCTCACCAGATGGCGCCACTGTTGAGTGGGGTCCTAAATTGTAACTTTTAAAGTTTATTAATACGCACATGAAATCAAAGGTTTCATTTAGATCGTATTTTAACACAAAAGAACCATATCCTAAACATAATAGGCCATGCCACCGTGACGCGCAGTTCCGTTTTATTCGGAAAAAATGGGAACATAATCATTTTTCTAAGCTCAAATTTTTATTATCTGACATTCATTGCCACATAACTCATATTTGCCATAATTAAAAAATGAATTGTTACCAATTATTCACAACATTATTTTAATTAGAAATAAACCCGCGTAGTCAACCAACAAGCAATAACATTTGACATTTCGGAGACCTCACGCTACACTAGCGCCTCTAGCGGCGGATTCATACGCGATAGCCGTCTACAGATTACAACTTTATTTTTTAGGTTATGAAATTCGTTAAGCTAAGATGTTTAGGTATTATAACGTGAAGGTTTTTCAGTTGCTATTTTCGTATATAATTATTACTTTAAGTATGTTAACATTTAACTTCAATTAAGTATGTTTTTTTTTCACTGTCATGTTTAATGTCCTAAATGTTCTGTGGGGTTTATGTCAGCAATAATTAATAAATATTTATGCAAAAAATACGACCTAACCTAATTTAGACAGTAGATCATCATTTTGAGTGTCTTTTAAATACATTAGTGTCGATTCTGGCATGATTCTCTAAACTTAAAACTAAATTTAAGATCAGTCTCTCCTTTTCATTCTGTATAGATAATGACAAAGATAGACTGTTGTCAAATTTAAGTTTAGGTTTAGATAATCGGTCCAGAATCGACACCAGTATCTACCTAAATAGGCATCTCTAACTCTGCTTGGTATTTTTACTATGAACTTGAACTATTTCTTTATTATTTTCATTTTTTAAGCATGTAACTGCTCGACGTTTTAAATCTAAAAAAATACAACTAGAAAAAATTCCACGCGGACCAGGCAGCAGACGGGACTCGAACCCGCACCCTTCGCTATCCGGACGTATGCACTGACCATTATGCTACCGCGGCTCTGATGGCCGTGTCGAAAACCCTCTAGCCTTCCTAAGCTGCAAGGCAGCGCCATCACTTCGCATTGTAGGTAAGCCACAATGTCAAATGAACACCTTTACAAGTATTAAACATTTAAAAGAAGAAATAGCAATTATAGTTATAATTTTTATTTTCTAAGAATGTAACCGCTCGAAGTTTAAATCTAAAGAAAATATTACTAGAAAAAATTCCACGCGGACCAGGTAGCAGACGGGACTCGAACTCGCACCCTTCGCGAATGCACTGACCAATTATGCTACCACGGTCCTCTCGGACCGCATTGAAAATTTTCGAGCCATTCTTAAGCTGCAAGGCAGCGCCAACTCTTCGCATTGTAGATAACCCACAATGTCAAATGAATACTTTTACAAGTATTAAACATTTGAAAGAAGAAATAGCAATAACAGCAGACGGGACTTATATATATATAACTATTTCTCTTTTAATATTTCAAAGAGAAACTAACTACAAACTAAGTTTCGCGAGCAATAACAAGTCTTGTGCAATATAAGTACTTACTTACTGACCTAATTTTTATTTCAGAAGCCAACGTTTAAGTTAAGGAGGCTGAACCACAAGATTTCATCTGGCAAATTGAAGTGGAACTCCTTGTGGTTTTCAACTTTTAAATTAAAGTTTGAAGTTTAGTTACTGTAAACTACTAAATTGTGGTTGAACTTAGATAGCGTTGCTCTGTGGTTACAAAATCTCTTTCCTCTTTGTTTGCGAGTTAAGTTAGGTACCCATCTAGATTTACTTTTTACCAAATAAATGATGAACCTAGGGAATCGTGATTTTTTTTGTAATACTTATATATGTTGTTGATTATGTCAACCAAATAGTGAAAAATATTGATGTCTTTTTCAGTTTATAGGTAGGTAGCTGTCATTCCTTACGATTTGACCTGTTGTACAGAATGCACCATTGATGGGGCAAACGAACCACTTCTCTATATAAATAGTGTCACCTGCACCATTGTGATGATACTTATACTAAAATGCTGTTATACAGGGTGTTACAAAAATACAAATAAAGCTTGAAGGGCGTTGAAGTACATCATATAAGGAGTCTTCTCTAATTTTCTTCAAATATTAGCATGAAGTTTTAACTTTATTTATAAAAATAGTTATTTTTAATTATTAATAAATATATCGATCATTCTAAGACACGTCACTAGTTTGAGGATCATTAAAAATAACTGTTTTTATAAAAAGTTAAAACTTCATGCAAATATTTTAACAAAATTAGACAAGACTCCTTATTTGATGTACTTCAACGCCCTTCAAGCTTTATTTGTATTTTTGTAACACCCTGTATAACCGCATTTTAGTATAAGTATCATCACAATGGTGCAGGTGACACTATTTATATGAACTGAAAAAGACATACTATTTGGTTGACATAATCAACAACATATATAAGTATTACAAAAAAGATCAAAGATTCCCTAGGTTCTTCATTTATTTGGTAAAAAGTAAATCTAGATGGGTACCTAACTTAACTCGCAAACAAAGAGGAAAGAGATTTTGTAACCACAGAGCAACGCTATTTAAGTTCAACCACAATTTATTAGTTTACAGTATCTAACTTTCAAACTTTAATTTAAAACTTGAAAACCACAA